GTTCCTGCAGCATTGCAGCGTGCCAGGAAAGCTTGAAGTGCTGGGTCATTCATTTGGAGGGAGAAGGCTATAAGGAGGGCTGCCTGGAAAGCTTGTAATTTAGAAATGTTCAAATCTTTGCATCCAAATGGAAATGGTGTCAGGTTTGTGCCAAAAGGAAAGTCGTAATTGCTATGTGCTTCCCTTCCCAGCCCTCCTGGGCAAAGGAACACAAGCAAGCGGGCTTCAGAGCTGTCGTCTACAGACATTTAGCAGACTCTGCAGCTTATTCTACCAGGCTGTCATCTCCCAGGAACATTACCCAAACACTGCAACACGAACGCTCCTTATTGCAAGTGAGGGCTCTGCAGCAAAGCTGGCATCTCCCCTTTCGTCTGTCCTGAACTGTGCTGCCAGACTTCAATGTCCTCACTAACTTTTTAATGAACCTTCTTCCCAGCACGTCAGTCGGCTGTTTAGTAACCGCTAATGGCTCCCTTGGTCCTCTTGAGTCAAGTTCAATCTCTTCATCTTGACATTGGAGGACCTCCGATTGAGCAATGGAGTTGGGCCCCCAAAGACCTTCTAATCTGCTAAGTCGGACTAGTGTCTCCCAAGGCTGCCGTCTTTACTCTCGCATCTAAGCTCTCACTTCAGTTTCTACTCTGTCCACCCCCTTCACCTGGAATAACCTCTTCCCTTCTGTCCATTTATCCAAACCCTACTTCAGCCTTTAAGATAGAAGCTAACCTTTCCAAGAAGCTCTGGTGCTGCCATTAGTCCATTCCTCACTCAGCTCCTTTCTGACCAACCAGGCTTAATTTGTTCCCTGGTTCATGCCTGTCTTGGGTTTGCTAACTCTTGCACGCATGTTTTTATTTATCACAACTAGACTGAAAGTGTCTTGAAAGTCAGGATCAGCGCTGGTGTCATCTGGGCACATGGTAGGTGCACATGGGATACTGGTTGCTTGGTTTCCCAACCAACTTCCATATGAAAAAGATGGAAATTCCCTCAGCTAGATAAAGGGTCTTTCTCAACTTGATTACAGACACAATTTGAAACCTGTACCTCATGTTGTACTTAAAAGTGAACTATAATAGCATTCCCATTAAAATTAGGAATGAGCATGACAACCACTGTTTAATATTCCAGTAGAGGTAATAGGTAAGAAACCAACGCATGAAAAGGAAACAAAAGCTATACTTATTCATTATATCCCCAAGCAAGAACAAGTCATCAGAACTGTCAAGAGAGTTTGGCAATGTCCAGGCTGAAATTCAAGGTATATGAATCAATAGGTTTCCTAAACACAAGCAATCAGTGATTAGAAAGTAAACTAGGAAAAAAGAGCCCATTCAAAGGAACAATGAAACGTTAAAATACCTATGAGGAAAAAAGCCTCATAAAAATGTGCAATCTAAATGAAGAAAAATCACATTACTTTGCTGAAGGACATAAAGCACCTAAATAAATGGGGGACGTTCCCTGTTTCTGACTTGGAAAACATATTGTAGGGATGCTGACTTTTCTCACATTAAACTATTAATTCAGTGCAACACCATTCAAAATCCTAATGTAAGTTTTTATTGAATACAACAAGCTTATTCTGTGATTTGTCTGGAATTATGAATCTGCTTGAATGGCCATGAACATTTTGAACCATAAGATTAATGAGCGATGACTAAAATAAAATTATGCTACTAAATGGTGTGGGTTTCGTGCAGGAATAAAGTGATCAACAGAACAGAACAGATCTGCATAAAAATTTCATATTAGATAAAGTAGCATGTCAAACAATCGGGGAAAGAACAAAGTACTCGACAAATGGATATGGCACCACTAACTAGCCATTTTGAGAAAAACAGGTAAATTTTGATTTCCCATCTGTGCTGATGTCTTTGGCTTGCCTCTCCAGATACCTTCCCCACCCTTTGGCACTCTGGTCTTTGCCCGAGAAGGGGAATCTATATAAATGATATTAATATCAGTGGGCTCCATCGTCCTAGAGTTACATGAATGTGTGGCTTCAAGAAAATTGTCTAGCCTCGCCGGGTAGCTCAGTTGGTTAGAGTATCATCCTGTTAAGCCGAGGTTGTGGGTTTAATCCCAGGTCAGGGCACATTCAAGAATCAACCAACGAATGCATACATAAGTGGAACAACTAATTGATCTCTCTTTATCTTTCTCTTTCCCTCTCTCTCTAAAATAAGTAAATAAAAATTAAAAAAAAAAAAGAGACTTGTCAAATTCCCTGGGACCTGACTCTTCCTCTGTAAAATAGGGTAGTCGTTGTGAAGATTAATTTAGATAAAGCTTGCAAGATGTGCAGCTGTGTTCCTGGTCCATAGAAAGTATTGGTTGACCTTGTCTCTCTCCTCCCTTTGGCCCGGGAGAACCTCAAGGACCAGGAACATACCTCACTCAGGTGCCTGTATATCCTGGATGCCTGTGCAGCTAGAAGCTCAGTTACATTTGCTGAAAGAATGAATGAACGCATACGCCACATTGGTTAACTGTTAATAAATACACGTACGTTCACGTATCTTCATTGTTAATGGGTAAACGAGATACCTTTCTGGCTTCCACCAGGGAGATCAAATGCTTTAGTTTGTAAGAACAAGAAATAAAAGAAAGCCAGAGATCTTGGGGAGAGAGATAAACGTCTTTAGAGTGGGAAGACTCATCACATAGATCTCATGTTTTCCAACCTTCTTCTTCAGAGCCCCAGGCTCTGCGGAGTGATAGGTCCCCCATGGGCAGGGTGTGGCTTACCTGGAAGCCAAACTGAGACCCCATGTTCAGGCAGAGAAATTGGACATACTAATGGACAATGGGCAGACCATATATGACAATGACAATAGAAATCCGACCCCAATCTTTGCAGCAACTGGTCTGGGAAGCCAAACCACAACCTCTGAAGCTATCAGCCCAGAACGTTTAGGACTTGGTCAATGACTGCCAACTTCTCTAATTTTTTCCCCACTGCCTCCTCTATTTTTAACTCAGGACCAACCAAAGAAAGCCAAATACACTCTCCAAACCAATTGCATAAGATGCTTCAGTTCTAGTCAGCCCCCTTCCGAGCAGAGCGCACCTGCAGTCGTCCCTCGTTTTCACTATAAAGCTTTTCCACTCCTCTGCCTGCCCTTGAGTCTCTGCCAAATGCTAGTGATGGCAGCTGACTCCCTTGATATACAGCAAGCTCTGAATAAACAGCCTCTGCTTGTTCTCGTTTCAGTGGTCTTTGTTTATTTCTGCAAGGTCTTCTCCCACATTCCAACTAAATACTCAATATATGTTATATATTGAGTTTATATATAAAATTTCATTTAAAAAGCTCTACTGCTAATTTTTTAAACAAACCACCAATGTAAATTAATGCCAAGAGCTAAAGTTCTACTGCTAAATTAAAAAAAAAAAAAAAATCACCAGTGTAGATTCATGCCAAGAGCCAAACTTCTCAAGGAATCTGAGGAAGGACGCTCACCTTGAATTAAACTAAAAGAGAAACAAATGATGACCAGACAGGTAGCAGCAAAAGATAGGGCTGAGTCTGGCCTGGGGATGGAGGGTTCGAGATCTCTGGACTTTTTCCCGTAAGTCAGGCCCAGCTGAGTCCAGAAACTGCAGGGATTGGAGTGCGTAGGTGAAATGCTTCCTTATCAGCTTCTCCCTGGGGCAGGGCTGGAGTTAACTACAGCTTAAGTCTGTTGAAATGTCCAGCTGCCAGAGGTGCAGACAAATGAACCAAAGACATGAGTAAGGCCTTGGGTGATTTAAAGAAGAGGAAGGTGGTTGGGAAGGTCCCAGCCCCCTACCTCCATGGGAGAGACTTCTCAGATACTGGAATTGGAGCCCTGCTCGTCTAACCATGACTATTTGTATGTCTGAAATCCTAAAACTCTCACCATCCATTCTATACACTCTGTAAGTCTATTTAAAATAAATTAGTTCTGTTTCCNGCCAAATACATGAATAAGGCCTTGGGTGATTTAAAGAAGAGGAAGGTGGTTGGGAAGGTCCCAGCCCCCTACCTCCATGGGAGAGACTTCTCAGATACTGGAATTGGAGCCCTGCTCGTCTAACCATGACTATTTGTATGTCTGAAATCCTAAAACTCTCACCATCCATTCTATACACTCTGTAAGTCTATTTAAAATAAATTAGTTCTGTTTCCCAAACTGGTGAATGCCAATAGATGTCTCAATAGAAAAGAAGCTTTGTAGTCAAATAAGTTTGAGAAATGGTGGGTGAAACCAAATTAAACAGATTTCACTTAGTAGGACTTTTTAAAACCTTCAGTATGCTAACATGCATTGTGAATCTGCAAGGAGAAGATACAGCATACAGCATTTTCCAAACTTGTTTAACCACAGAAGCTGATTTCTTACCCACCTATTTACAACTCTCTGAACGTCATTCTATGGTATACAATTTTGGAGACAGTTTCGAGATAATGCTACCTTTCAGAGGAAAACTATTATTAGCTGGTTAACACCTCATCATCTACTGTAACTCACGAAAAGGAAAATCAAGGGGCCCCTTAAGAATCCCCTAAGAAGTGGCACAAGAGGCCAATTTTGGTGGGAGAAGGAAAATGGATCATAAAGCAGAGCTGGAGGCTAATGGAGGTTGCAGCTGGGTCTCGGGTCAGCCTAGCCGGATTAAGGATACTATGCATAGAATTCCAGATCATTAAAGTCAAGGATTATACCCACTTGGTTCATAATTTTTCTTGACCAGACATTGTAGCATTATGTCTAGGAAGTTAGAGAGTGGCCAGGAAAATCACTGTATTAGCTGAAAATCGAGATTCAGGCAAATGATTCTTTTATAGCAGTTTACCACTGATGGCCTGTAGTCCCATTTTCCAGTTGAGATAATTGAGGGCAGAGAAATGATGCAACTTGCCTGATGCCCCAGCAAAGCCACGTTTCTTTGCGCAACCACGTCATGAAGTCTTTGATGGACCGCAGGGAAGGGGGGTGAAGTGTTACAAGAATTCCATGCTCACTTACTTCAGAATGACACAGCCCGTTCCCGCTGGTGGCGCGACCCAGAACACTTGGATCCGCGTCCTCCGCCGAGGGGTGCTTTCTGTGACCGCCACAGGGCAGTTACTCATGAACTGTGTTTCTTCTTCATCTATGATCTATGGAAAACCAGCGGAAAATAAACACATTAAAATGTGCTTTGCTTTGGGAAGGCGCCCGTTTCCAAGTTGACACTTCCTTAATTTTATTTTTAAACCTGTCATTTTGTGTTAGCAGGTCTAGATCTCCAGACACCAGAGCAGTGCCTGGCACAGAGCCCCAGTCAGTGCTTGCTGAATGCACACGAGGGCAAGGATCTGGCATGTGTTCTATGCTCTCTGGGACCAGGCTCTTGGGTCAGCACTTTGAGGAACAGGCCACTAGGTGATGAACTTGCACATTTCACTAAGATAATCTGTGTCCCATTCAGGGAAGGAAGGAGAAGGTGGAGAAGAGAAAATCCAAAGCGAACACTCTCTCTATGGCTAGATTTTGTAACTCAACTACAATTTTTTAACTTGAAATTAAAATGTTAGAACAAAACACCCCTTTGGAGAAGTATCCCAAATTACAAAAAGTTCCCCAGCTTCACAGCACTGTTTACTTGTACAGTCTCTACTTTCTTTCTTTTTTAAAATTGATTTGAGAGTGAGAGGGAGGGGGAGAGAGAGAGAGAGAAAGTAATGTGAGAAAGAAACATCGATCGGCTGCCTCCAGGACGTGCCCAGATCAGGGACCAAACCCACAACCTTCTGGCGTGTGGGGAGGACAGCCAACCAACTGAGCCGCAGGGGCCAGGGCTCTCTACTTTCTTAACTTGTACAGTATATTCGTATTCTCCCAAGTTAGCCATCAAGGTTTCCGATGGCTCTGCAAAAAGCGCTGGTAGCCATTCCCACNACTTTCTTAACTTGTACAGTATATTTGTATTCTCCCAAGTTAACCATCAAGGTTTCCGATGGCTCTGCAAAAAGCGCTGGTAGCCATTCCCGCTCCCCAAGGCTGCTTTCAGCATTTCTCCTGCTTGTTTCTGGATGTGCTGCCAGTATTTACCTATCCACCTAGGAGAACCACAGACTACGGGTCTTTTGGGGAATTATCTAAGTCCAACTGATCTTAAGTGCCAACTCCAGTTGGTTGGTATGCCATGAGTAGTGTTAATAACATTAATGGATAACATTTATTAAGTGTCGANTTGATCTTAAGTGCCGACTCCAGTTGGTTGGTATGCCATGAGTAGTGTTAATAGCATTAATAGATAACATTTATTAAGTGTCGAGTACGTGCCAGGCACTAAACTAAGTGCTTATCTGAATTACTCATTTAATCTTCAAATATAATCTAATGAAATTATTATGTCCATATTGTATTTATTTTATTTTTTAAAAATACCTCTTTTCAGTGCAGCAGGTAAAAAAAGTAAGTCACCCAAACTCCTTAGTTCAACATATATTTTCTTCACTGGACAAAGCAAAGGCACTTGGCTATTACATTTGTTTATCTGTGTATACTTCATCCTACCCCCGTTTCCCTCCGCTCTGTAACACCCTCAATATTTCATATACATCCTTCTGAGTGTGTGAGTGTGTGTGTATTACTGTTTGAAGTTATATAGAATTGTTTTGTAGTTTAATGTTTTTTTTCACTTAACCTTCAGCTTTTGGGATACGTCCATGCTACTGTGTGAGTGCAATCCATCGGCTCCGTCGCCTAGTTCGCCGCTGCATGCAGAGACCAAGGTTTTTCTATCCACTCTCCCAGCGAGACCACTTAGCTGACCTCCATACACGTCGCTGCAGTGAAGATTCTCACGCTGTTCTACTTGTGAATGCACATGAGAGTTTCTCAGCAATATAAACCATGTGGTGGGATTTCTGGGTTGTTGGGTTGTGGGTATAATATTAATTTCACTAAGTACTGCCAGATTGTTCTGCAGAAGGGCTATGCCTACTTTTATACTATTAGCTGTGCATGAGTGTTCCCACTTCCCCACCTTCTCACCCCACATCCAGTACTGTGATTTTTGAACTTTCTAATAGTTTCCAATTTGACAGGTATTAATTAGTATCTTGTTTTAACTTAATACCAGCAAATTTGAGCATCTCTTCACAAATTTATCAGGTTTCTCCTGTGAACTGCCTACTTAGAATCTTTGTCAATGGATTTTCCTGTCTTTTTCTTCCTGATTTGTACAACTTTCTAGATATGAATCTTTAATCATTTACAAATATCTTCCTGTCACTCAGAGGCTCATCTTTAGAATTCTTCATTTAACAGAACTCAAGCAATTTTCAACTAGCCAAATTCATCAGCTTCTCTCCTATGGCTTATACTTTCTTCTTTTTGTCTAAAAATTGATATCACAAGGACACCTTCCAGTATTTTCTCCCATTAGGTTTATAATTTTCCTTTCACATTTAATTCTTCAATCCATTTGGAATTTATTTTTTAATGTGATGGAGTAGGGATCCAACTCAACTTTCTCCATACTATGAGCTACTTAAAAAAAAAAGTAATAAACTTTTTTAAAGAGCAGTTTTAAGTTTACTGCAAATTTGAGCAGAAATTTAGGTTTATAATTTTCCTTTCACATTTAATTCTTCAATCCATTTGGAATTTATTTTTTAATGTGATGGAGTAGGGATCCAACTCAACTTTCTCCATACTATGAGCTACTTAAAAAAAAAAGTAATAAACTTTTTTAAAGAGCAGTTTTAAGTTTACTGCAAATTTGAGCAGAAATTTAGGTTTATAATTTTCCTTTCACATTTAATTCTTCAATCCATTTGGAATTTATTTTTTAATGTGATGGAGTAGGGATCCAACTCAACTTTCTCCATACTATGAGCTACTTAAAAAAAAAAGTAATAAACTTTTTTAAAGAGCAGTTTTAAGTTTACTGCAAATTTGAGCAGAAATTTAGGTTTATAATTTTCCTTTCACATTTAATTCTTCAATCCATTTGGAATTTATTTTTTAATGTGATGGAGTAGGGATCCAACTCAACTTTCTCCATACTATGAGCTACTTAAAAAAAAAAGTAATAAACTTTTTTAAAGAGCAGTTTTAAGTTTACTGCAAATTTGAGCAGAAATTTAGGTTTATAATTTTCCTTTCACATTTAATTCTTCAATCCATTTGGAATTTATTTTTTAATGTGATGGAGTAGGGATCCAACTCAACTTTCTCCATACTATGAGCTACTTAAAAAAAAAAGTAATAAACTTTTTTAAAGAGCAGTTTTAAGTTTACTGCAAATTTGAGCAGAAATTTAGGTTTATAATTTTCCTTTCACATTTAATTCTTCAATCCATTTGGAATTTATTTTTTAATGTGATGGAGTAGGGATCCAACTCAACTTTCTCCATACTATGAGCTACTTAAAAAAAAAAGTAATAAACTTTTTTAAAGAGCAGTTTTAAGTTTACTGCAAATTTGAGCAGAAATTAGAGTTCCCTCATACTTTCTGTCTCCACACAAGAATGTAATTCTGCTTACTTTGAGTGTAATTTGATTTTCTTTTTCTAGTTTCCTAAAGTAGAAGCTTAGATTATAAATTTTAGACCTCTCTTCTATTCTGATATGTACATTCATTGCTACAAATTTCCCTCTAAGAACTGCTTTTGCTGTATCCCACACATTTTGATAAGCTGTATTTTCATTTTCACTTAGTTAGATCTATTTTAAAATTTAGCTTGACATTTCTTCATTGACTCGTGTGTTAGTTAGAAGTATGCTGTTTAATCTCCAAGTACTTGAAGATTCTCCAGCTATCTTTCTGTTATTTATTTCTAGTTTAATTTCACAGCGGTCATCATATGCTTTCTATCCTTTTAAACTGAAGGTATGTTTTATGGACCAGCATGTGGTCTATGTTGGTGACTGTTCCATATGAGCTTAAGAAGCGCGTGTAGTCAGTCTACTGTTGTTGGATGAAGTAGTCCATAGATGTCAGTTATATCCAGTTGACTGATGGTTGAGTTCAAGTCCATCGTTATGGATATTCTGCCAGCTGGATCTGTCCATTTCTGGTGGGGGTGTTGCGGTCTCCAACTATAATCGTGGATTCACCTGTTTCTCCTTGCATTTCTGTCAGTTTCCACCTCTCGTATTTTGACACCCTGTTATCAGGCACATACACATTAAGGATCGTTACATCTTCTTCAGGTATTGACCCCCTTGTCATTGTGTAATGACCCTCTTTACCCCGATGAATTTCCTTCCTGGAGGTCTGCTGTCTGAAATCAACAGGGCTATTCCTGTTTTCTTTTGATCAGTGTTAGCACAGTGTATCTTTCTCCATCACCCAACTTGTAATCTACATGTGTCTTTATATTTAAAGTGAGTATCTTGTAAATGACATGCTGTTGGGTCTTGTTTTTTTTATTTACTCGGAAAATCTGTCTTTTAATTGGTGTATTTAAACCATTGACATTTAAGGTGATTATTGATAATAGTTGGATTAGTATTTTAGATATTCGTTGCTATTTTCTATTTGTCGCCCTTGTTCTTTGTTCCTGTTTTTGTCTCCCACACTGAGCGTTTTATATGATTCTTTTTCTCTCCTTTATAAGCATATTAATCATACTTTTTCCTTTGCCTTTTTTAGTGGTCGTCCTAGAATTTGCCTGATAACAAACATTTACAACCAACCCAAGTCTACATTCAAACAACACTATATTGCTTCACAGATAGTGCAAACACCTTACAATGTAAAAATATTCTTAGTTCCATCCCGTCCATTGTATCATTGTCATTTACTTCACTTATACATAAGCATGCTCATAGCTATAAGTATACAAAACAGTACACTGTTATTATTTTTAGCAAATTGTTATCTGTTTGAGCAATTAAGAACAAGAAAAAATAAAAATTTTTATTTTATCTTCACTTATTCCTTCTTTGATGCTCTTCCTTTCTTTCTGACCCACATTATTTTCCTCCTCGTTCAAGAACTTTTTCAACATTTCTTACAAGGCAGGTCCACTGGCTGAGAATAACTTTGCAGGGTTCAGAATTCTAAGCTGGTGGTTCTTTTCTCTCAACACTTTAAATATTTTGCTCAACTCTTTTTTGTTTGCATGGTATCATTCTTATCTTTGTTCCTCTATAGATAAGG